TACGACTACGACTACGACTACGACTACGACTACGACTACGACTACGACTACGACTACGACTACGACTACTACTACTACTACTACTACTACTACTACTACCGCTACTGCTACTACTACTACTACTACTACGACGATGAGGAGAAGGAGGAGGACGGCGTTTACCGCTCCTACTAGTGTTGCTTTCCTAGAGGCTCAAACTCCTAGGTAGGGTCGCACTGGGATAATTTACTATGTTTGAAGACTTCTCCTGTAGAGGGACAGGCCCGACGTAGCCCTACGGGCAGGGCTCCCAGGGAGCTCCCGAGAGCTCCGCGGGAGAGCAGCCCTGGCGAGAGGGCGCGGGTCTGCCGGCCTCGTTCGGGAAGAAGGCCAAGGAGAGGGGAGGGCGGGGCGCCCCACCGCGGAGGAGGGCCCTGCACGGAAGGGCGAGGCGCCTGCACGGTTGCCCGAGTCCGCCGACTTCTTTCGCACGCTGGGAGCGCAGAGGCGTGCGAGCTGATGGGCCGTCCCCCTCCCGAGCACACGTACGCCCAGCACGGCTGCAGCCCGTCGTCATGTGGGCACGACGTTGTAGACCGTGCTTCGCCCTGGCAAGCTCCATGGGCTCCTCACGTCGTCTGGGGGTCGGCGAGATGGCGCAGGTTCCTCTTGACTGAGGAGAAGGGAAGTTGGACGCAGAGAGACGTACTAGTACTACGTGTCCTCATCGGAGGCGTGCGTCCGACCCGAACATATAGTACACCCATCTTGTAGTATGTCGTTTCTCAGCGGTACGGCCAGAAAGCGCCCGCCACAAAGCAGATAATGTACTATAGGATTTCTCCTCGCGAGCGTCGCCCTTCGGGGGCGACGCACACGAAGTATCAGTTTGTGTGGGTGGCGGCGCCGAGGATATGAGAGGAGAAGCCAGGTAGCAGGCTGCTTGAGCGGGGGGGCATTGCCCATCATGGCGGACGTCTTACAGCTCCCCGTGACCGCGCGCCGGCGCTGCGGTGGCCGACGCAAGCCGTTTGGGGGGCGGGGGGGGGGGAAGGGGGAGGCACAGGAGGCAGGGAACCGAGGCACGAAGAAGGAGGACACGGTATGGGGTGAGGACGATATGTGGTGAGGAGGTGTGGGGTGAGGAGGCATATCGTGCCAGCACGCCCTGGCGCACGGGCCGGTGGCTGCAAGGACCGCGCGGCAGAGAGAGAGGCGCCGTGCGCCCCTGCAGCTACCCGCGGGGATAGCGGATAGCCACACCCGGACGAGCAGGTGACGCTGGGCACGTGCTATGCTGCTGCCGCGGGCGGCTAAGGGCAGGCACCAGGCGAGACCCGCACCGGGCGCTGGCCAGAGAGAAAAGAGAAAGGCTGGAGACTCGGCGCCTGCCCGCGAGTCGGCCGAGGAGGAGGAGGAGGAGTAGGAGGAGGAGGAGGAGCAGGAGGAGGAACAGGAGGAGC